GGTGGCACATGCTTGTAATCCCAGCTACTCGGGAGGCTGAGGCAGGAGAATCACTTGAACCCAGGAGGCGGAGGTTGCGGTGAGCCAAGATTGCATCATTGTCCTCTAGCCTGGGCAAAAAGTGTAAAATTTTGTCCCAAAAAAAAAAAAAAAAAGTGGTTTTTTTCCGTCTGTTTTTTTTTTTTTTTTAATATATAAAATCAAAATTTGTTCCTTCAAGCTCTAGAGAGGGTTAGAAAATCCCCTAAGATATGTTAAAAAGAAAAAAATTCTGAAGGATTACTTGACTAGCTTCCCTTCCCTACATAGTATAGTACTGCTAGGCCCCACTGTTCTTGGAAAAGTTTTTGTTTTGTTGTTTTATTTTTTTGAGACAGGGTCTCACTGGAGTGCAGCCTAGGCTGAAATGCAGTGGTACGATCATAGCTCACTGCAGCCTCCAATTCCTGGGTTCAAGAGATCCTCCCACCTCAGTCTCCTGAATAACCGAGACTCCTGGTGCCACCATGTCAGGCTAATTTTTCTTATTTTTTGTAGACACGGGTTCTGGCCATGAAAAAAAAAAAAAGAAGGCCAGTGTTATCAAAACAATGAAATGAACATTGCATCCTTATTCCGTGCCGTGCAGTATTCTAAATTATATGCAATCATTAACTTCTTATAAAAATTCTCTGAGGTAATCTATAGCAGACGCTCTTGGCCTCCTATTCATACACCCTCAGGCTTTACCACTTCAGTGTGCCAAATCTGTCATATCTGCTTGAGGGCTTGGCCCAGAGCTGGCAGGCTGGAAGTGTCAAGGTTTTGACAACCCCAGGAGCAGCCCTCAACCAAAGACAACCAAAGAATTAATAGGAGTCAGCCAGGTGAAATGAGCTAGGTAAAGGGAGGGGTAAAAAGGCATTGCAGGTCCTTGTGCTGCTGGGGCTGATGTTTTCAGGAAAGGGGGGCCAGGAGAGGGGGCCAAACAGGTGGGGAGGGGCTGGGTATTGGAGGGCTTTGTTAGTGTATATATACTCCAGCTCCCTTGCTCCTAATGTGGGATGAGTCTGAGGCTCATGTTCTATACCATATCCCATAGCTCCTCAGTGGGATTAAGTCCAGAGTGGTCCACTTTTCTACCTTGCTGGATAACCCAACTCCTTTTCTTCATGGCTTATTTCCTGACTCCCTTACTGGTGTTTTCCTTCACCTCCTGATATGGTTTGGTGGTGTCCCCACCCAAATCTCACCTTGAATTGTAATAATCCCCAGGTGTCAAAGGTGGGGCCAGGTGGAGATAATAGAATCATGGGGGCAGTTTTCCCCATACGGTTCTTGTGGCGGTTAGTAAGTCTCACAAGCACTAATGGTTTTATCAATGGGAGTTCCCCTTCCTCCATGATTGTGAGGCCTCCCCAGCCATGTGGAACTGTGAGTCAATTAAACTCCTTTCCTTTATAAATTACCCAGTCTTGGGTATGTCTTTATTAGCAGCGTGAGAACAAACTAATAAACTATTTGTACTCGAGCCTTTGTCTCACAGTCAGCTTCTGGAGGAATCCAAACTAAGATATAAATGAAGACCACAGAAAATCTGAGAATGATTCGAAGAATAGAAATATCTCCATGTAGAATCGCTTGAACTGGGGAGGCGGAGGTTGCCGTGAGCCGAGATCTCACCACTGCACTCCAGCCTGGGCAACAGAGCAAGACTCCATCTCAAAAAAGAAAAAAAAAAAAAAAATCTCTGTGTAAATAGAAATGTTCACTGAGTTGTAATGGTTGCTAATCACCGGCTCTCCAGGCTTGACAAGAATGCGTATTTGAACTCACATTAAATTTTTTAACAGAGGCAAAGCACTTTCAAGATCATAAAGACCACTCAGAGATTTCTCACCTTTATCAGGCATCAAAGCCTTTTCCCCACCTTTTATTCAAGAGAGAAAAAAACCCTCCAAATGTCTACCTAAAAAATATTAGCTTAAAAAAAGCTCAGCTTTGCCTTTCTGAATCATCTCCAGTCAAACTTAGACACGTCTGTTACCTGATTTTAAAGAGATCCTAACTCTTGCCAGTTGCAAATCTGAGCTAACTAGAAAATTAGATTTTTTTTTTTTTTTTTTGTTGTTGTTGAGACGGAGTTTCACTCTTGTTACCCAGGCTGGAGTGCAATGGCGCGATCTCGGCTCACCGCAACCTCCGCCTCCTGGGTTCAGGCAATTCTCCTGCCTCAGCCTCCTGAGTAGCTGGGATTACAGGCACGCACCACCATGCCCAGCTAATGTTTTGTATTTTTAGTAGAGACGGGGTTTCACCATGTTGACCAGGATGGTCTCGATCTCTTGACCTCGTGATCCACCCGCCTCGGCCTCCCAAAGTGCTGGGATTACAGGCTTGAGCCACCGCGCCCGGCCTGAAAATTAGATTTATAAATTATATTTTAAGAGAACATAATAAAGACAAAAACGTATTTTAAATTGTCTTTCCACATATACTCTCTCAACTGACTAAGCTGCTTTTCTACTGGAGAGTAGAAATCCTAGCACTGTGTTTTATATTTTGTGCTAATTAAAATTTAATGAAACCTATTATTTTGCAATTTTTAAAATGTGTCATAATATACCACCAATCAACACAAATAATGTCAAATAACAGACCCCATTTTGAATTGTAAAAATTGTGATGATATAGCAAGATACAGGACCAAGTGCTAAGATGAGGGGCGTATTAGTGAAATGACTAATTGACATTTTTGTTGGTACTCTTTGATAATTTCCATCAGTGGCCATTAATTTGCCTAAAAGGGCTTTTGTGACTCACGGGTATGATAAAATTGCATTAAGTCTTGTATTTTGTACAAAGAAACCCGATTCAGTCAGCGTTTCCGATTATCAGCCACACCGGGAGCTTTATTAAGCAAATAAATACTATTGACAATATATAAACAGAGATATCACTTACACATTTGTTTGTTGACTCCACCCGATTAAGGTAAAATGTGCAGTACAAGATGTTTACCATAACTTACTGTTTAACTGATCAATGTTGCTAATAGAGCTGCCTCCAAAGCTGCCCCCTGCTGTCCTGCATGAAAATGCATATGTTTAAAAAATTACGAAAGAAGCTATTTTAAGCCTGGAAGATAGACTCTACATCTTAACATCTGTAAAAGCCTTTTACATGAAATATAATTCTTGACTCAGTATTTGAATCATGGTTATCACATACAAATGACAACAAAATCAGTTTGTTTGAGGTCAACTTAATACTGTAACTATGGGCTTTTATTTGCCTACCACTCAATTCAACAAACTTCAGCACTTAGAGTTCTGCCTTTGTAAATAGTCACTGGCAAAGTCATTTCATATTGTTTTATTTATTTATTCATTTTTGAGATGGAATCTTGCTCTGTCGCCCAGGCTGGAGTGCAGTGGTGAGATCTCGGCTCACTGAAACCTCTGCCTCCCTGGGTTGAAGCCATTCTCCTGCCTCAGCCTCCCGAATAGATGGGACTATAGGCACATGCCACCACACTAGCTAATTTTTGTATTTTTAGTAGAGACAGGATTTTATCAAGTTGGCTGGTCTCGAACTCCTGACCTCAGGTGATCCACCTGCCTCAGCCTCCCAAAGTGCTGGGATTACAGGCATGAGCCACTGTGCTTGGCCTCATATTGTTTTAAAGGTCCCTTTAATATGGTATGCATATTAATTTATTTGCATATTTGCATTAAAAGGATTAAATAGCATGAAAACTATAATAACAATTACAATAAGAGCTAACATTTACTCAACACTGTGTGCCAGACATTCTGCACACACTGTCGCATTTTACCTTATCACAACTCTGTGAGTATCATTATTATCCCCATTTTGGATGAGAAAACAGAGGCACAGAGAGCTAAAGAACTTGCCCTAGGTCAAACCATTAAAGGTGGCAAAGCAGGATTAAACCCATCATCCTGATAAACCCTTAGTGCTAGTTTGTAGTTAGCCATGGCTGAGCCCGCAGAAATCACTTGTCTAAGGTAACTACCAAACAAATATGAGAGACCAAACCAAGAGTTGTGCTTGCACTTGTCAAGTGATTCTCTTTTGATTTTTGAAGAAAAACAATGGAAAATGGACAAATGATATGTTTTATGATTTTCCTTTTTTTTTTTTCTTTTGAGACAGAGTCTTGCTCTGTTGCCCAGGCTGGACTGCAGCAGCATAGTCTTGGCTCACTGCAACTTCCACCTCCCGGGTTCAAGCAATTCTCCTGTCTCAGCCTCCCGAGTAGCTGGAATTACAGGCGCCATCATGCCCCGCTGGTGAAATTTTTCATATTTTTAGTAGAGACGGGGTTTTACCATGTTGGCCAGGCTGGTCTTGAATTCCGGGCTCAAGTGATCCACTCACCTCAGCCTCCCAAAGTGCTGGGATTACAGGTGTGAGCCACCGTGCCCAGCTATAGCTTACTTTTATCTCTACTTCCAATCTGGTGAAGGGAATTCCTTCCATCTTCCCATCCTTTTTGGCCACATTTTCACTCCATTTCTCAGACCTCCTTTGTCATTTCCTACAGTAGAACACGGTGTTCTCTCTTCTCTATTGGTAGGTTTAATTACATCATCTAATAAATGAGCATTAATAATGTAAAAAAGAACAATATGGTATTAAAATGTTTGCTTTTGGCTGTAAATAGAATACTTCTCTAAAATTGCCTCAACAATCATGGCACTTATTAACTCATATATGTCTAGATGTAGATGATACCAGAGTTGCCTAATTTAGTGGTACATTATCAAGGACTTAACGTGATTTTTCTCTTACTGTTTTCCTATGATCAGTATGGTGGGTTTTGTCACGTTTGTGCTTCATGATCACAAGATGGCTCCAGGCGTTACATTCTTACAAAATAGCATTGAAGGGGGAGGCAAAAAAGGGAGGAATGTTTCCTGTCTTGTGTCCCTTTCTAAGAGTGAGCGAAACTTTCATTTTTTTTTTTTTTTTGAGGGGAAGGAGAGTTTTTTTTCGGGGGTGACGGGGGGGGGGGGGGGGGGGGGGGGGGGGGGGTGGAAAACACAGAAAAGGAGAGGTCCATAAATATCCTTTAAGGGCACCACTCACGAAGATGTTGGCGTGGGCAGGGGAGTGGTGGGGAGGTTATAGCAAAAAAGGTCAGGCCTCATTGCTGAATCCAGGTGTGTGTCCGGATGAGTTGAGCCACAGCTTACCTTCTAGAAGCATTCACATATTGGCCTAAGAATTTGTTACAAGTCCACATGCTTGATAACTGCTATAACACACTCGCATCTTCCATGGCCTCAATCCACCTCTGAGCTGAATTGGTATCTTCTGCTTTGAAGCTATAAAATAGGGTTTTATTGTGGTAAAGGTGAAAAATAGGTCCTACTTCGCTGCTGCCCTCTTCCTTTTCTGGAGCAATGGTGAAACCTAGCAGAGTCATACTCTCCATGGCCACTTTGTCCTCACTGGCCATGTAGGTGTAGAGAACTTTGCCTTTGATGACAAACCAGAGCTTCTTCCAGTGCCGCTTGCCCCTCTTACACCGGCTGAGATAGCCGCTGATGGCAGAGCCCTCTCCAGAGGCAGTCACCTCTGTCAGGGCTGAAGGGACTTTCTTCTGCTTCTTGAAGGTTGAGGGGTTGATGCTGTGGAAGACGGATGAGAAGGCACCACCTGAGAAGCGGGGTGCAGAGAGTGGGAAGCTCATGCTCACAAGCCGCTCTCTCATCAGGCCTGGGACAGCCCTGCCCCGCTTCTTCAGCTCCCCGAAGCAGCCGTCACAGACCTTGGCCATCCTGTCCTTCAGGTACTTCAGCGGGTACTTGTTCCGTGAACAGTTCCGGCACACAATCTTGCCACAGGCATGACAGTGATGACGCCGCAGTGTGAGGGAGAAGTCACAGCCGCAGTTCATGCACATCATGACATGTGTGACAGGCACCAGGGTGGGAGGCCTCTCCCCAAGGCTAACCCCCAGGCTCTCTCGTATCTCCACGCTGTGGTGGAACGCAGCCAGAGCCTGGGCCTTGTAGTCCTCAGGAAGAGCTCTGCTCAGACAGCCATACCACTCGTCCCTCTCTGCACAGGAGCTCGCAGACAGCATCAGGCAGGACTCAGAAGTCTCGATCTTTAGAGCATAGGGCACTTTCTCCATCACAGGGCGGCTGACCTTCATGTTGGCCACAGCCAATGTGTTCTTCAGCCGGTACTTCCCGTCCTTCTGGGGATGGGTGTACAGGAGCACATTGTTCATCAGAAATAGGTGCCGGGGGCGTCTGTTTTTCCCTGTTGCTTTCATCAGCGTTCCTTCCTTCAGAAACTCCCTGGCTGGAGGAGATCCCCTTGGCCCTGGACGCTGTGCTCAATGTGGACCAGCTTCTGTAGGTTTTCCCCTTGCTCCATGCTGTCGTTGGCACGGTCTGTGACTTTGGAGATGAGGCTCAGTGCACCCTGTGTGCTGTCGTACTCGGCAGAGTCCTGGCAAAAGTTGTTTAAATAGTCTGTGAGGAGCAGTTGGTACTGAAAGAGGCGCTGAACCACCTGCAGCAGCCGATGTTTTGCAGTCTGGCCGCCTCCTTGCACATTCTGCTCAAATTCACGGACAGCAGCTGCCAGCAGGGGAGAGTGGAGGCAATTCTCACTGAGCAGACCTAGGTACCTGTCAAACTGCAGGATGTGAGTGGCGTGGTGATCAAACCCCTGCTCCCGGGTCAGGAAGACGTCAGCTACCTTCTGCTGGCTCTCCCAATTTGACAGCCTTTCCTCCAGCTCCTCCAGGATGCCTTGGTGAAGTTCGTAAATGGCTGGGAGTTCACTCAGGCCCTGCCTCAGCTCCTCCCGGGCCAATGTGTCTCTGCCTTCATGGTCCATGTCATCCAAGGCCCTCATGACAGCTCCATGGAAATCCAGATGTAAGTGCTGGAGCATCTCCACATATGCTTTCTCTGAAGATAGCAGTTCCTGTGCGATGACAAGGGCTCTGGACTGTCCTTCCACCTTGTGGGTGAGGCTGGGGTCTCTTGAAGCACTATCCTCCTCCTCTGAGCTTCTCTGCTCCTCATCCGACGTGAGGTCCTCTTTAGGGGCTGCCGATGAGAGGGTTCGGCAAAGTCAGAGACAGACTTTGTAGGGCTCTGAGTAGGTCCAGCTTTGTAGGGCTAGAGTCTTTTCATACCCTTCTCATGGGCAAAATTCGGGAGGAGTACCCAGACAGGATCATAAACACATTCAGCATCCTGCCCTCGCCCAAGGTGTCAGACACGGTGGTGGAGCCCTACAATGCCACCCTCTCTGTTCACCAGCTCATAGAAAATGCAGATGAGACGTTCTGCATTGATAACAAAGTGCTCTATAACATCTGTTCCAGGACCTTAAAACTGACCACACCCACCTACAGTGACCTGAATCACCTAGTGTCTGCTACCATGAGTGGGGTCACCACGTGCCTGCGCTTCCCGGGCCAGCTGAATGCCGACCTGCGGAAGCTGGCCGTGAACATGGTTCCATTTCCCCGGCTGCACTTCTTCATGCCCAGCTTTGCCCAGCTGACCAGCCGGGGCAGCCAGCAGTACCGGGCCCTGACCGTGGCTGAGCTCACTCAGCAACTCTTTGATGCTAAGAATATGATGGCCGCCTATGACCCCCGTCATGGTCACTACCTAACCGTGGCTGCCATTTTTAGAGGTCGCATGTCCATGAGGGAGGTGGATGAGCAAATGTTCAACATTCAAAATAAGAACAGCTGCTACTTTGCTGAACGGCTCCCTCACAATGTGAAAACAGCCGTCTGTGACATCCCACCCCGGGGGCTAAAAATGTCGGCCACCTTCATTGGTAACAACACAGCCATCCAAGAGCTCTTCAAACGTGTCTCTGAACAGTTTACCGCTATGTTCAGGCGCAAGGCCTTCCTGCACTGGTACATGGGCGAGGGCATGGATGAGATGGAGTTCACTGAGGCCGAGAGCAACCTTAATGACCTGGTGTCAGAATACCAGCAATACCAAGACACCACAGCTGAGGAGGGGGAGTTTGAGGAGTGTGCTGAGGAGGAGGAGGTAGCCTAGAAGCTTCCTTTTCTAGGTAAAGGGGGAAGCAGTGTGGATTCTTTAGTGTGTTCTGATAGCCATTGTCACTACACGCTTCTTTGAGTCTTTACATCTCCTCCTACTGCATTTTAAAGCATTTTCATAGTAAGTAGTTTGGCCTAATAAAACATTTTTATAGCAAAAAAAAAGGGCCACCAAGTGTAGGCCAAGGTGATGTACCAAAGCAGAGAAAGAAGAGCCTGGGAAACTTCTTCTGCTTGCTGTTCTGGGATGTGAGCTTTGGAAGACGCTGAATTAGGTTTTTGTTTTTCTTGAGACGAAGTCTCGCTCTTGTCCCCCAGGCTGGAGAGCAGTGGCATGATCTCGGCTCACTGCAACGTCTGCTTCCTGTGTTGAAGCGATTCTCCTGCCTCAGCCTCCCAAGTAGCTGGGATTACAGGCGCCTGCCACCACCATGCTCAGCTAATTTTTGTATTATTAGTAGAGACGGGGTTTCACCATGTTGGCCAGGCTGATCTCAAACTCCTGACCTCAGGTGATCTGCCCGCCTCGGTCTCCCAAAGTGCCGGGATTACAGGCATAAGCCACTGTGCCTGGCTGAAGATTCTTTAGATAAGGCTAATGCCATGCTGTGAGCATCCCTCTCTGACCCCTGGGATAATGGGGAGCTACCTTTTAACTTCAAGCCTGTGAGATGGTACATTAAGGGGATCCTTGAAGAGGTTACTGTGTGTTCCCTGAGGTTGGGGAGCCAGGATTGGAGCCTGAAATAAGACACCCTGTGACAGCGGGAGAGAGGCTGCACTGGAACACTCTGCACCTCTGCATGTGGGAGCCATGGGGGAAAAAGCGGCTGGAGGCTGGGCACGGTAGCTCACACCTGTAATCCCAGAACTTTGGGAGACTGAGACGGGAGGACTGTTTGAGATCAGCCTGAGCAACAAAGTGAGACTCTGTTTCTACAAAAAGTTAAAAAAAAAAAAAAAAAAAAAAAATTAGCCAGGCACAGTGGCTCACGCCTATAGCACTTTGGGAGGCCAAGGCGGGTGCATCACGAGGTCAAGAGTTCGAGACCAGCCTGGCCAACATAGTGAAACCCCATCTCTACTAAAAATACAAAAATTAGCCAGGCATGGTGGCATGCTTCTGTAGTCCCAGCCACTCAGGAGGCTGATGCAGGAGAATCACTTGAACCCGGGAAGCAGAGGTTGTGGTGAGCTGAGATGGCACCACTGCACTCCAGCCTGGACAACACAGTGAGACTCTGCCTCAGAAAAAAAGTGTAAAAAAAATTAGCTGGGCGTCATGGCACACGCCTATGGTCCCAGCTACTTGGGACACTGATGCGGGAGGATTGCTTGAGACCAGGAAGTGGAGGCTGCAGTGAGCTGAGATTGCACCACTGCACCCCAGCCTGCATGACAGAGAGAGACCCAGTCTTGAAAAAAAAAGAGAAAAGAAAAAAAGGTTGGAGTCTTCTTTTGTTAATCTTTTTGGAAATAGAAGATACATATTAAAATGCGCACAAACAACAGGTTTACAGCTTGATAAATGTTCACAAACTGAATACCCCCACGAAACCAGAACATTAATTACCAGCATCCCATAAGGTCCCTGTACTCCCCTTTTAGCCACTACTACCCACCAAAGTTAACCACTATTCTGATCTCTAATAACACAGATTATATTTGCCTCTTTTTGTTTTTATATAAATGGAATCATACAGTATGTATCATTTAGTGGCTGGCTTCATTGCTCAGCATTCTGGTTACACGATCCATCCGTATTGTTGTATGTAGCTGTAGATCATTTATTCTCGATACTGTATAGCGTCCCATTGTGTGAGCATTCCACAATTTATCCATTCTACTGTTGATAGACATCTGCGTAGTTTCCAATTGGGGACTATTATGAATACTTATGGATATTTTAGCACGTGTCTTTTGGTAAACATATGTACACATTTTTCTTGCATGTATATCCAGGAGTGAAACTTCAGAGTCATAGGGGTGGTGTTTGTAAAAGCTACAACAGTTTTAAGTCTTTCCAAAGAGGATTTCTTAAAGTGTGGATTCGAGCCTCTACTTCCACCCTCTCACATCTGCCCAAGAACCAGAAGCCAAAAGGGGTGTGGATTTTAGAGAAACACTGTATGGTGAGCATCGCCAGAACTATAGTCAAAGCGGCCCAGTGAAGGAGGCCCCCATGAGCCCCATAGAAGAAGCCATATGCCAGGAACACGGCTCAACCTACGGAAACATTTTAATGTAGCACAGCATTGGTCCTGTCTCCACGTGGGCATTGTGAAGGGCTACTGCTGAAGGGGCTAGCCTTTGAGCTCTGGTTCTGGACAGCTCGTTTTCATCTGACCAACTCCACTCCTTGGCTATGTGACCTTGGGAAGGTCATTCTTTCTCTCTAGGCCTCACTTTTCTCATCTTTCTGATGTGTGGCTGCTTTCTGCTCTGAACTTGTAGTTGAATGTTCTAAATGCCTCACTAACAGGAACCACATCTTCACCTTCCTCCGTGTTCCCAGAGATCACCTCCTGCTCTACATACCTATGGGCACAGTAGGTCACTGGACAACACGTGTCTTGCAATTTCACTTTCTAAAGAAAAAAGAATCTGCTTTTATGGTTTCAGTGATGCACAAAATGAGGATTCAATTGGTGCATTAAAATTAACAACATGGTATGTGTGTGCCTGTCCAAATATAGATGTTATACTGCACACCAGCTTTATGGAAAAATCCATTTCCATTCTTGTGCAACTGATTTTTCTCTGAAGGAACAGAGCAGAGACCATCTATGTATCATAAATTTGTCAACTCACTGTTTTACCCAAGGACGTTGGGTAATTAGAAGATTCCAACATAGACCCAAAGAATTCTTCTCTTCATCTGGGAACTTGTTTTATCACTTGCTACTGCCTTGTTCCTAATGCTTAGCATTTAAAGGTTATATATAGGGAAAAAAAAAGACTCCAGACATTATGTAGTCACTGTCTAGAATGGCATTATATTTTAACAAGATATTATCACTCTGGCAAAAGGAAATCATTTTTAGTGGGTAGGAAATTATTATGCAGTATTCTTCAAGCAATTAGAAATCACATTGTTGTGTGGTGAATGATCAGCTTTTCTTGCTGGAGTTTGTTATTATACTGTTTGTATTTAAAATATGGGGCTGCAGAGAGAAGGTTTTTTTAGTAGAAGCGTGAACATTCTAAGCAGCTCAGGCAGGTGAGCCATGATGCAATTTTATTTCCCAGGAAATTCTGGAGTTCCCCTGAAGTTCCCTGTCTTACTTCACCCATAGAAACCTTGAATTCTTTCCCTTTAGCTAAGGAATACTTAGCTAGGCACCCCTAGGGCTTTATAGGGAACTGACAACTTAAAACTTGGTATCGATCCAAAAGTTTGTTGGAAAATCTGTCTTAGAGCAGATTTTCTTCAGTTCTGTATGAATGACTCTGGTTCCTAAGCAAACCACCAGAGCCCATGTCACTGATAGGAAATGAGACTCTAGTATTAATGATGGTCAAGAACCAGTTACTCGGTAGAGTGTTATTTCTTGGTGAAAATCTACTCTAAGCTCTTTCTTGTGAGAACAGAAACTCAGCTCGCCTTCTCTCCTCCCTTCTGTACTCTATTGTCAGAAGTGGGGATTCCTACAGCATGGAGGATTGGAGTGTGCAGGACAGGAAAAGGAGTTGGAAGGAATCCAGAAGTCTGAGCAAAGGCAGGGGTTTCCCAGCAGTGACAGAAAGAGAAAGGGAAAAGGAGCAAGGGTGGGCTTAGCAATGATGCAGGGGTAAAGGCAAGGATATTTATAGCTTCAGCTGCAATCAGAAGGAAAGTCCCTAGACACAGAGATGATTTTGCTCATGGGACATTGGCAACTTGTACAGTCATAACTGAGGGACTATCCCAGTGCATACACAAGTTGATGCTTTAATATTCACTCAAGCCTACTGAAACTTAACCTTTCTTTCTGCTTAAAAAAAAAATCATAAAAATAAATCATTCTACCAAAAAAAAAAAAGAAAAGATACATGCACCTGT